ATTTTATTTTATTTTTTAATTGTAAATGAAAATTTAGCGACCGAAACTTAAAGCTAAAGAAAGTAATTTGATTTTTCAAAATTTATTTCATTTCAATATGATTGAAGACTCGCAGGTGGTTATGTCGATAAACAGGTAGGAATGATGGAAGCGAGGTTATTCTAAAGGTTACTTAACTAACGGTACTAATGATGTGTTTATAGAGGAGGATTACTCTGGAATTGTGAGGTGTGAGAGTGAGGTCTGGAACCTGTCTCTTATACACATCTAGATGTGTATAAGAGACAGATTGTACATAAATAAATAACTTACATTGCCCGTTTGTACAGTTTATTTTGAAGCAATCGTTTTAGCACACTTTTTGTTTGTGTAATTTATTATGTAATTGTATACTGATCATGCCCTTTATGTTACACATACATACATGCATACAAATGTATGCRCAATATAATTTTATGTATTATGTGCTATTATTATATTTTTTATACACACGTGTGTATTTTATTTTTATGTTTTGTAAATGTATTTGCAAAAACGCCCCGAAATTTAGTTCAAATTATTTTAATGTATTTTATTTTTAATTTTATTTTATAAAATATAAATATAATTTTATATGTGCGTCTTTTAAGTTAAATATTATTTTGTATTAATTTCTTGTTATAATTAACTGTTACTTAGTTATGCGCCCTCGYGCCGGGCGCGCTATTATTTGCTTAGTACATTTCAATAAAGTTGAATTTCTAGCAAAAATAATTGAGTTTTAGTTTATAAACATTTTTTTTTTTTAATTTTCTAGAGCTACAATAAAAACTTTTTAGCCGCAAATTATAACGCTTGCTTTTTCCTATAATACGCTTTTAACCGAAAGCGCCAAAAGTTATTACCGTTTTTCTATTCCTCACTCAATGTACCAAGCAAAGCCCCTGACGGTATGCTACACTTTTGCTAATCAGCAGCACATCTCTCGTATATGTGTGTATGTGTGTCATCTTTTCAACTTTGAAAAGTGCAATTTCTGGCACTTTTCTCAGTCGTGCTACCAGGCGACCAGAAGGCAGCAGTAGGTAACTGCAAAATGGAAAAATGCTTATAACTTCTAAACGGAGCGTCGTATCGTATTACGGTAAAAATTGGATTGTAGAGAAACGCTTGTACTATAAATTGAGTTGAAAAAATTGTTTGTTGTTGTCGCAGAAGTATTTTTAAAAATTAAGTTTACAAGGTAAATCGATGTTGCAAAATGAAAAAACGCTAATAACTTTTGAAGCGAGAGCTGTATCGAATTACGGTAAAAACAGGATTTTAGAGTAATGCTTGTACTACAATTTGTGTTAAAAAAAAATGTTTATTAGTACATAGTTTTTTATAAAAATTCAATGCTCAATGTAAAGCTATGATGTGAAATGGAAAAAMGCTTATAATTTCTGAATGGTGAGTCGCAGACGCTTACGGTAAAAACAGTAATTAAAAGCAATTAATGTGCTATAAATTCAAATACAAAAAAGTGTTTGTTGTTGTTGCAGAAATTTTTAAAAATTATTTTTTTAGTTTTGAGCTAGCGGCAGCTTGGCAAAACGCCAATAACTTCTGAACGGTAAGTCATAGACGGCTTTGGTAAAAAGCAGATTATAGGAAAAAGTATTCTCTTTAGCTCCAAACTAAAAGTTTYTTGTTATTTTTGACAGAGTTTTAATAAAAAGGAATAATAAAAAAGAAGACTCTTAAAAATATAAGGAATAAGTTTCAACAAAAATTAATTCCCTATCGTCCACTAGGAGATGGTTTCGATCCTTCCTATAACAATTGCAGAAAAATCAATACATTTTGTTTAAAAGTATATAGAAGCTTTATTTATTGTAAAATATATTTCTGTATGTTTGTAAACTTCAAAAATTTCGACTTTCTATAAATTAAATTAAATATAAATTTATAATTTGTATTTTCACTTGCATSTCAGCAACCCTCGTTTCTCACGTTGTGCAGCCACAGTCCGACGATCCGCTACTACCCCGCTCAGCTGCTATAGATTTGATCATGCGACACATTAGCTCACGGCAAGTGCTCTCCCGACTCTTACCCACCGCCACGACCTCAGCATGATTGGCATACTCTTTCTTTTCGTAGTCCAGTGATGACTTGTTGGTGATAAGACTGAAGGCAAACACCTTCAGGCCGCAGTGCTGGGCCACGACCACCTCATGWGCGGTCGACATGCCGACAGCATCTACGCCACAAGTGTGCAACATCTTACACTCAGCAATGGTTTCATAGTTAGGACCACCTAGAAAGCAATATGTGCCCACCTTCACCACATCCGGTATACCCATCTCTTTGGCTACACTCAAAGCGCGCGTAATCAATGCGGGATTGTAGGCATCGGTCATGGGTGGAAAGCGCGGTCCTAACCGATCATCATTCGGTCCACGTARTGGCGAATTGCCAGAGAATCCGACGAAGTTGATATGATCGCGTATGAGCATAATATCACCCACCTTATAAGTGGGATTTATGCCGCCCGCCGCATTGGTCACCATCAAGTATTCAATACCCATTACTTTCATGACGCGCACCGGCAACGAGCACTTAACCAATGGATAGCCTTCRTAGTAGTGGAAGCGTCCCTGCATGGCCAACACTGGTAGGCCCTCCAGCATGCCGATGACCAGGCGTCCGGCATGTCCGGGCACCGTTGAGACCGGAAAACCGGGTATGTCCTTGTAATCGATATTTTGTGCATTCGTAATGGCTTCGGTTAGTGAGCCCAGACCCGAGCCACATATTATGCCGATAATCGGTTTGACTTTTATGCGTGACAGAATATTATCAGCGATCGCTTTGACCGCTTCGTAGGTGATGCTRGGGAGCAAATTAATCAAAATGGATATGTAGGGATGTGATTGAGATATCTTACGTCTTATCTTCACATTTKCCTGTCGCGCACTTAGCATCCGCCATTACGTATGCAAAACGAGGGTGCGATGCAGCAGATTATTTAATTACAATTTTTATTTTTATTTTTTTTTTAATTGTAAATGAAAATTTAGCGACCGAAACWTAAAGCTAAAGAAAGTAATTTGATTTTTCAAAATTTATTTCATTTCATTATGATTGAAGACTCGCAGGTGGTTATGTCGATAAACAGGTAGGAATGATGGAAGCGAGGTTATTCTAAAGGTTACTTAACTAACGGTACTAATGATGTGTTTATAGAGGAGGATTACTCTGGAATTGTGAGGTGTGAGAGTGAGGTCTGGAACTGCAAATACTTTATGCATAATTACAAAAAAAAATATATATAGTATATAATATGTACTATAAGGATTGTTGGCAGGCATGAGTTTTCAGTTAAAAAAAAAATTAAATCTTTTAAGCTGTAGAGGCTGTGAAGAAAATTTAGCCACATACTTATAATTTATAAATTAGTGCAACAATGTTAAAAAAAGCATATCTTTATACTAAGATATGTGTTCGAGTAAGTTGTAATGCAAAAATAAATTTTTTAGAGCTGCCACCTGTTCTCACACATACATATGTATAAAAAGTTTTGCTAAATACAATGTGAATACTAAAAATATGTTTGCATAATTTTTATTGAACAAATATTTTTTGGAGTTGCCACCTGTCTTCACATGCATGTTCAAAATTTTTTTAATACAATTATGCAGACTAAGAAACRCATTTGAGTAAGTTGTAATGCAAAAAATATTTTTTAGAGTTGCCACCTGTTCTCGCACACATGGGCAAAAAGTTTTGCCAAATACAATTGTGCATACGAAGAAATGCGTTTGATGCGTTTTAATACAGAAACATATGTTTTCAGAGTTGCCACCTGTCGTAAATTTTTTTTCTAATATAAGAAGTGGTTCATAATTTAAAATACAGTGCCAGCAAATTTACAGAGGCTTCAGTTGAATTATGATATGTTGCAAGGTTGTCACACTTCTTCAATTATTTTCAGTCATTAATAAAATTGAATWAGGGAAAATTACAATAAGATTACAAAATGAAACTATTTACACATAAAAAAAAAATTGGTGACAAATTTTAAATTAAAAATTATTAGTTCAAATAATGGTGATTTCGAAGACTTAACTGATCATACATATAAGGGACGATATGCCAGATGTTGGTTACARAAGCTTTTAGATTTATAATTTTAGATTTATTTCCTGTTGCTATAAACGAAGTATTATAATGGTATAYTCACATATGTATGTATATGTAATTGAAATTTGAAAAGATACATTTATACAGAATATCAATATATGTATACATATGTACATATGTACATAAGTATATTAAATTTTAATTTTTTATATTTGTGTAAATGAATTTTTCATACACATATAAACGCCCGCCTATGGTGCAGAAATCGTTTAAAACATAACTAATTATAGCATACTTTTGGGCTGCAAAATTTCTAAAATAACAGTAAATGCCATATGGAAACTATTTAAGGTTCAAGTAAATCAAGTTAAATTATTTTTCAAAAAATTTATATGAAATTTTAAGGTTTTTAACTTCTATTGTTCCTAAACTCTGACTTAAGATATATTAAGGATCTATATAGATTGAATAGTTTCAGAAGGACACTAATAAGTCAAAGTTTCTGAGTGTCTTTAAAATTTTAGATTTCACAATAGGATTTGGGGCCAGATAACAAGCTGTAGGGATTGTCAAATTCAATGTTATTAAAATAGTAGCACAAGCTTGAAATTGCTCGAATTGAGGTGCATTTTATCTACTACTACTAGGCTAAATGGTATAGGCGAAGGCATAAACTTTGTTTGCAAATTTATATTTCAGCTTGAATATTGATATAGGGTTCTAAAACATTATTAAATTGGTAAAATAGTGAAAGTTTCGTTTTTCTTTGTCAAATCAAAAATCAAATTTTCAGCTTTTTCCTTTGTTCAAGCTCTAAGTTAAGGTTTCAACTAAAACACGTATTTTTATTTTATTTTAGATGATCCTGTAAGGAGTTAATCTACAACGCTGGCGTACCTTTTATGCGAGGGGTCACCGGAAATGTCGTCACAATGACCGAGTTTAAAAAAAAAAGTTAATAATGTATATTTGTAACAATAAAAATTTTAATAAAATATTTCATTTTGTTTATGAGAATTTGAATAGTTGAAAAGAGACTGTTTTAACAGGACGGAACCCATGTAACCCCATAATGAAAAAAAAAAATAATAATAATACAATCACTTTGAATTATTTTGGGTGCTCAATATACAATRTACATAATTGTTTTATTATTTGATCCAAAATACAGTAAATACAATCAAATATCAATCAAATACTTCATATTGTGCAAATTCATATCTTCTTAAAAAAAGAGTAGTATATTCTAATATAACCGCATAAGCGGTGTCTACGCCATTACAGAAAAAGTACATTCTAATAAATAATGTCGAATACAGTTATAGAAATAAGGAAATGCTAAAAGTACAACACATATATATACTTTACACTTAAAAAGAATAAATAAGTTTTATATAATACAGAAGACAACGCATTAGTTAGTATTGGACACGCATTAGCTCCAGAGGGCTATATATTCACTGTCGGCTTACTGCGCGGATTGGACTGTCGTTATGAAATAAAAAAAAAAAACTACAATATTAAATGCAACAAGTAGTGGGTGACTCAAAGTCGAACGCGTACAAATACCGTAATGTTAATAATATTGTATATAAAACTGTCTACATACATATTTAAATAGATCTTACAGAGTCAACAAACTGAGCTAACACAAAACATAATAAAAACTGTATAAACTGTATACAAYTACAAATCTAGTGCCAAGCTACAGAGTAATCTTATATTGCTTAAGTGTTACCTCATAATACGTGTCTGTAGTTATAAGCGGCCAGTGGTTTGCGTATGTGCTAGGTGCGCAACTCGAGTGCATGCGAATGCGCACTATCTCGCTCCCACACCAACGCTTGTTTTTACAAGCTACTCTCTATTTATGTCTTTTTTGTTTCTTCTTTATACGTAACTATGTACGTAGCAAGCTATGCTATGATTACAAACTAAGATATTTTTGGTTCGTTTCCCCTGGTTTYAGCKCTTATTTMTTGCCATTCTTCTGCTGCATCTCCTCGGCCAACTCGCGCACCACGCGACACATTAATTCACCACAAATGGTTTGCCGCGATTTGCCGACCATWACGACTTCCTCGTGATTGGCATCCTCCTCGCTGCTGTCGTAGTCGACGGCACACTTATTCGTGATCAAACTGAAAGCGAACACCGTCAGATCGCAATGCCTGGCSGTGATCACTTCGTGCACCGTGGACATGCCCACCGCATCCACGCCCATAATGCGCAACATTTTCAACTCCGCMACAGTCTCGTAATTGGGRCCACCCAGACAGGTGTAGACACCTTCATGCACGTCATTCTCAATGCCCATCTCGCGCACYACTTTACGCGCCTTACGCACCAAATGACGATCGTARGCGTTCGTCATGGGCGGGAAGCGTGGACCAAAGCGTGGATCGTTGGGTCCCTGMAGTGGCGAATTGCCCGCAAAGCCCATAATATTGATGTGATCGCGCACGATCATGATGTCACCGACTTTGTATTTCGGGTTGAGACCGCCCGCGGCATTTGTGGCGAACAAATACTTAATACCGACCAATTTCAAGACACGCACAGGCATGGAACACTTCGCCAACGGATAGCCCTCATAGTAGTGGAAGCGACCCTGCATGGCAACGACGGGCATACCCTCCAAATAGCCGAAGATCATGCGACCGACATGACCCTCCACCGTAGAGACGGGAAAGTTCGGTATGTCCTTATACTCGAAGGCCTGTGTGCCGGTGATGTGATCGGCTAGCGAATTCAAACCCGAACCGCAAATGATGCCGATGACGGGCCGTATGMYGGTGCGCTCCAAAAAGTAATCGGCGATCTCTTTGATCAGCTCATAGGAATAGCTGTAAGTAAAGAGAAGTGGTTAAAAATTAATATTATTTGCAAATATTTTACAAATATTTATTATACGTATATGTGTGCGTGTGTTTGTAAATCAGTGTAAAACAAAAACCTCAATGCTGTTTGTGTTGTGGTTGTTTGTTGATGACGCAACATTTTTGTGTAGAAAATACAATTTTGTGCGAAAATATTTGTGTATACAAAAACAATGAAAAACTCAAAACATAAAAGACACAGAAACAAATTTGTTTACAACCCCACGGCTTTGTCGCTCCGAGCAGAATAATTTGACGCCGTCAATCGAGAAAACGTTAGACCAACAAATATTTGGCATTCGCCTACTAATATTTAGTTATCTGTTTTGATGTTTCGTTTAAAAAATAACAAGATGAAAATATTTTACCAAAATTTGTTATCAAAAACAAGCAACTCTGCTTTTCTTATCTTTCCCATTAATTTACGTGACTTTAAGACAAGAACTTCTGTTTTGGAGACTACATACATACAGAGGTCTTCAAACCACAGCTCAATGTTCGTATATTCACATATTGGGATGTCATGGTTGAAGTTTTTTTTTTCATAAATGGGTTCTCAAAGTTTCTTTGAACATAATATGTTGGCGCTCAATTCCCAAAAATCATAAACTCAAAGTATATTAGAAACATATGAGACCTCGCATGTAGAGGTGTGTTCAGAAAATAATGGATATTTTAAAATTTCGATGGTTTGGAGTGTTTTGTCTTGAGTTCTTGGTCAAAAATAATACTGTAAATATAGCCCAGCCTCCATATTCGCCAGCTTGTCCTTTTCCTATTTCCAAATATAAAGAGAACCTTCAAAGGTGGTCGTTTTACAATAAACTTGGACGAAAAACGCTGAGCGAGTCAAGAATCGA